CCTCAAAAAGATATTCCTGATGTCGATTCTTCCTTGTTGTGGCCACGAGCCGACTGGCTTCTGCTTAGAATGAGCTCCTTCAATTGGAGAGTCGCTGTACTCTTTGATACGTTCTACCGCAACGATGTTCGTCTCCAGCTCACTGGTCATTCGCACAGCCCAGTTGAGCGTTTGCGTAATCTAATTAATACACACATATAACTGACTGTCAATAATTAGTACACTAATTAGTTAGTTATTTAGCGCTGCTCTGGATAATCATGATTATTTCTTCTTATTTAAAAATGGCAAAACGACTGGCACAGAAGGGAACAGCTTGCTCCGCGCAAAGGCGAAATTTGTGGAGGAACCAGCTTTCAGAGATGAATCGGACAAACTGAACCCGGGCGGTCTACGGCAGCCCCACCCACTTCGAACGTTTGTTGAATTTTTCAACTGTGCAGAGTCCACTGTACAATTGTGTTCGTCACATTCAGTCGGGGCGGTGTAAAGAGGCACGGGCTGAGCTCGCTCACGGCGTTCTCACCGGTTGTTTTCTACTCAAATCGATCACTTGCCGATCACTATTGGTGGGAAAGGCAGCCGGAGGCACGCTCATCCCGCCCCTTCTGACAACACCCCGACTGATTGCGACGATATAAACCGTATGTTCAAAAACTGATCGCACCCCGAATAGGCGGCTGTTCTCACGTTCTCGGAAAACTACTGAAATCTTTTGACTTCATAATTTCAAGAAGAATCTCGATTTCCAAATGATGAAGGAGAATTTCATATTTTTCCTGTTTTTTTTTCTCTCAACATCCTGCACTCTCAGTCGTATCTTACTGGCACTACTGTTCCACACTCAACAACATTCTTATTGTTTTTATTATTATTTATATTATTATTATGCTCACTATTTATTATTATTTAAACCATTATTATTCACTATTATTATTGTTATTATTATTATTACTATTGTTGTTTTTACTTTCAATTATTATCATTCTGATTTTAAGCAATCATCTGAACTCACATTAAGCGCGTATGATACAGAAAGTCCGACGAGACCAGCAGTGAGCCCAGGAGAATCTCTGAAGAGCACTGCGAAAAGCGCCGAAAACATAACAATGAGATTACCAACAAGTTCGAGACGCACAGCCAGCCATCTGAAATCACATGTATTCAGTACCTGAATGAAAAACAGTCCGTCTTTTGGGGCACTGTTGACTATTACAGCCTTCAATTACTCTTTGTGCTAAAGCTCCTCCATGTCTCCCGTGCACTAAATAAAAATTAAATACTTTAGGTTTAGCTTCGGCGCCATATGGCCCCGATTTGCGTTTTCAATGGAAATCGCTGTGAACTAAATTGCAGAGATAAGCTGACGTGTTTTTTTGCATGCATAAC